ATCCAATTTTCATATCACTGAATTTGATCAAGTCTTCAGGCATCAAAACGCTTAAAGAAATATCACAGTTTTATTGGAAAACTCAAGAACTTGGTTTTAACAATATTTCTAAAAAGAAAAATTACATTGAATATTGGGGGAGACCTAAAGTCCCTATTACATAAATCATCATCAAAATCTATAATAATTTTCCCAACAAGAATAACATATATCCAACCTATCAAAGAAGTAATTAGCACCTCTATTCCAGTGTATTCGCCTAGTTTGTCGTTTTTCCAATTGACTGAACAAACTTTGAACATCATGAACAACCCCAATAAACTCCCTCATACTTTATACATCAATTTAATACAAACCACATTGCATATTAATAAAAAAGATTTCATTATATATTTATATTTATCTTGTAAACCACTTTCATAAAGTTTTTCAATGTATTAATATGAAATACTCCCTCCGTCCCACACTCTTTGTCCACTTTTCTTTTTCGGGCTTCTCACTATCTCCAGTTGGCAGTTGGCACAGAGCCGTCTCTCTTGCAACTTCTCTTCCTCTTAGTCTTTGTGGATCACGACATGAGAGGGACCCACTGCGACATAGCCTGGGAAACACTGCAACTCTGCAACAGGCAACCTGCCAACCTCCCAGCTCTTGAGAATGCTGGCAAACCTTCCGACCTGCTACAGGCAACCCCCCAGCTATGGATTGAAATTTTTATCAACTTCATTTTAAATTTACTTTTGAGTTTTGCTTAAGTTGTTTTAGTACTAGCACCTTCGGGTGTTTTGGCACAGATCCTACGCTCGTGGGATTCAACGGGGTTGTTGTTGTTGTACCTTCGGGCGTTTTGGAATGAACTCTTGGTTGTGTATTTATTTCCAACAAGACTATTTAAGTATTTAGATCAAGTACTCTATTATTTTGTATTGAATATATGTCATATGCATTTCTGAATTTAGTTAATTAGTTGTGTGACTTGTGTTCTGTGGTGACACCATTTTTGCGCCATCGCCATAGAAAACTGGCACATCACCGGGATTGATTGATTGTCGCCATGCACCATGCCAACTATGGCTGCGAAATAGGTTAGTAGGTGAGTCCCTCCACATGCCAGCATAAGTCCAACTGAGTTGGTAACTACTATTGAAGATCTGATAATGGTTACTTTCCTTATAGCAGTCGAGTAACTTGGAAGTTCAAAAGTCTAGTGATGTAATAGTGTAGTTGTGTGTGGTGAGTGAGAGCATAGACATGCCACTATATGCTAGAGCGTTGATTTAAAGTATATGAATTATTTGTGATTAATACAAAAAAATAAAAGGAATTCCATGAAATTGCCTTTGTTCTCATTTTTCCTACTTTTACAAATTGAATGCTGAGCAGAACTGCCTAACATGATTGTCATTTTCATTCCCACATAGCCCTAACCATCAATAGCAGTATTTGCAATACATGATAGAATAAGAAAGCACAAAAACATTCAAAGACATATCCATATCCCCCCCCCCACCACCACCACCACCACCAAAAAATGACCCCAAATGACCCCAGTGGTGAAATAAAAATAGGTACACAAATATTCAACTCCGGATTTTCTTCACTTTCTACTTTATCTTTTTTTGTTTAATTTACTCTCTCGATGTTATTAAAATCAAACCAATCTAAATCAAGCAGTAAGAACAATCAAATAAAATCAACAAAAAAAACAATTCAAAGAGAAACATATTCTATCAAAAGAATAAAATTCAAACCACCATACCTCGAAATCAAGAGTGGAGTCCATTCCAATGGATTTCCGCACATCAAATTCCTCCTCATCCTCCACAACATCACCCTTGGAACTACCCTCCCCGGCAAGGCCTTTACCTTCATCATTATCATCATCAAGCTCCTCAAGATCATCCTGCAAGTCCTTCATCAAATCCCCAACCCCAGAATTAGGGTTCGGCGTCTGCTTCTCATCTCCTCCGTTGCTGAGCGATGATAGCAAACGATCGACAGGTGAAGGAAAGGTCCACCCTTCGTCGTCAGAATCATTTCTAAAAGCGGGGTTCCCTGCGTCGGAGAGCGGGGCAGGTTCGCGAGTCCAGGTGTCTTTGCGGATTTCGTCGTCTGTGAGACTCCACAGCGAGGAAATCGTAGGTTGCGGAGATGAAGATGATGATGAAGTTGAAGTGAGAGAGCCGAATACTCTGTCAACTCGTACTCTGAAGCTGTCCTCCATTGATGAAGGAACTCAGAATTGGATTTGGAGGTTGGGAAATGCAAAATTGGGCCGTTTCCAGAAATTCCCAATTTTTTAAAACAAATTCCCTTACCGTCCTCACACTTCTACACTTTTGTTTGGGAGGGTTGCAGAAAAGGAAAATGCTCCCCAAATGTCCCCACTACCTCTTTGTCCACCCAAACAAGCAAGAAAATTCAAAAAAAATAAGTAAATGAAAAGCAAATAAAAATGAATGGTTATGGAGGAGGTGGGGACATTTGGGGTACACCAAAAGTGTACCCCTAGCATCTCCCTTGCAAAAAACACTTTAGTACCCTCTTACCAAATTGGGCTTTTGTTTGGTCTATTTTTGAACAGTGTAATTTTTATTTTTTATTTCTCTATTAATTTGTAAATAAAATAATTTTTAAAAGATATGATATTTGTACATCGTTTGAAATGTTGTAAACAATTTTGGACAGAGGGTGTATAAGATGCCACTATTAAATTTATCATACATTTTGTGCAAGTGTAAGATATCAAAGTACTTCTCCAACCCCTAGTTGTACAAAAGTACTCTCTCCATTACAATTTAAATCTTCAGTTTCAATTAACGATGTTTGACTAGAGTTATTTTCAATATAATTTATTATAAAATTGGGACAAAATTAATAAATAAAAGTTACAGGTTAAAAAACTACATCAAAATCTTTACGAAAAAAGAGATGACATGACTATTTTAATTTATCCTATGAGTAACGAAAATAAGAAAAAAAAGTAGAAGAAGTTTGACTGTGTAAATAGTAAACATGCAACTTAACTTGAGACGAAGGGAGTGGTGTACAAGTATCATTATTATAATTATAACTTTTAATGTCCAATTCCATATTTTCTAACTCGGACTCTATTTTTCTTTAACACGCTAACTCTTTAATTTTCTCTTATATTTGAATTTTAAAATTTTTTACTTTTTTTAGTTTCGGCTTTGTTCATAAGTTCTAACTTTTAATATCTAGGAGCATCTTTAGCGCAAAGCGTTTAAGAAGTTGTTCACTTGAGAAAATTGATGTAGAACTTATGAAGAACACATATAGAGCATAGACCTTCAAATTTTCATAAGAGTTGCTTAATCTAGGGCTGCGAGGCACAATAATAAGATGGGGTCATATGTTGATGAAGCAAAGGGCTTGGACTTCGTGGGGGTTGCACTGTCGGACGAAGAACCTGGAAACTGAGGCCTTGGGTCAAATAATTGACCGACTCTTTCAACCCTTGAAATTGACTTAACAAATCATGGGATTGAGCCTGATATTTCTTCTCTAAATCGGCACTTTTTTCCTGAAATTTTGCTTCAAATTTTTTCTCCAATTTCAGCTCCAATTCGGTCTTCAGCCGGGCAGCGTAGTCTTCATGACTAGTGCCTCCCGAAGAAAGTGATTCCGAGGATCCAGCTTCACAGCCCCGCCCGAAGACCCGGTTCTTGTTGTTCCCCACCACCTCGACGTACAACCCAAGGTCATCTTCTAGTTCTTCCTCAGCAACATCATCAAGACTTATAGAATTAGACCCCGATCCGGATGCGGCTTGCTTCTTTAGAAGGAGCTTCTCCTTGTAATCTTTCTACATAAATCACAATTTAAAGAACTAATTAAAATGTGATTAAAATTTTTGTGTAAACAATATCTACTAATAGCATTCAAATAAATAAATAACCTTGATTTTAGCAACTTCTTGAGACGGCTGGGAACCCTTCTTCACAAACAAGCGGTTAATGACCTTGAGTTGATTTGGAACGACTTTGTCCTCTTGCTCCTATTCACAATTAAATTTAAATAAAAAATTGACATAAGTAAAGACTATAGAAAAACACTTACCATCTTCTTGATGTGCTCGCTCACAGAACGACGCCCCCCATAATATTGCCTTTGCTTTGCCTTCTCCGTGTTTCGCAAGAACGAGCTGGAGTGCGAGAAACGAGCTTTTAGGCCTGAACGGGTTATGAATTGGTAGCAAAGGGTCACTAGAAGAGGGTGTTTTGAGCCGAAGAATAAAAACAAAGCACGTAAGTACTTGGAGAAGCAGTTGGTATGCCTGGGTGCCCACAATTTCCGCGAGGAGTACTAAAAAAGTCACAGGCGGCCCATACGGACAGGCAACCAGGTGTAACGAAGCTATAAAGTCATAAAATTAATTCAGTATTAGAATAAATCATCTAAGTGTATTTCAAAAAAAATTACTTACACGAAACAGGTTCCACCATCGCTGACGAACTTCCTTGGGGGCGGTTGTGTAGGTATTCCACGACCCATGAAAACTTTCTTTGATTATGCCTTTAATTGTGTTTAGGACAGCTTGTTCGCTGGAAAAAAAATTAAAAACTTAAATACTCATACAAATAATAAATGAGATAATAAAATGCAAAAAATTACCCCTTCAGTTCGGCCTTAGTGATCAAGCGCGGAAGTTCCCCGTACGGCACTGCACTAGCCTCCGTTGAAACTCCGTCTCCTCCTTCGCCGCCTCCTCCGCCCTCGCCCTCGACCTCGACCTCAGCCTCCAAGTCGCCACCGGCATTGAATATAGACTGAGGGGTAGTGGTAGACGGCGATTCCGATGGTGCTCGAGAGTGAGAACGCTGAAAGCTTCCCCTACCGCGAATACTACCGCGGAAGGAAGTGCTCCTTGTGAAGGAGGAGGGCGGAGGAGTTAAAGCTTTGGAGAAAGAGAATAGTAGGAGGAGCGGAGTGGGTAATGAAAAAACGGGGAAAAAGTGTTAACTGTCGCGTATATACTTAACATTTGGCACGTCGTCACGCACGTCGAAATCCGTGCCTACACCGAGCAGTAAATACGCGACAGTTTGAATAATTACATAGGCACGGCCTTTTCCGTGCCAAACACATTCAACTCTTCGGTTTTTGGGGCTACATTAATAGCCTCTGCAAGTGTGTCAGTCTTTTTATTGGATCGAACTTAGGCACGGCCACACCCGTGCCTAATGGTGTGCATTAATTACGAAATGTTTGGGTTATTACGTAGGGACGCCCTTATCCGTGCCAAAGAAATATCTCTGTAATTGTGTCAGCCTTTTTGTGTTGTAACGCTTGCTGGCACGGCTATAGCCGTGCCAAAACTCAAACCATAATTATTGCAAGTTGAATAAAGATATAGGCATGACTATTTCTATGCCTACACCGTTGTATAGCTTACTGTGCTGCAAGGGTTTTATCAACTTAAATTCGTACGAAAAAAGTAAAATATTTAGTTTTACTCTTCGGTCCTTAAAAAATTGTCATAGTTTGATTTTTGTGTAATTATGACATTTTTATCACGAATTTAATTTTTTTAAAGTTTTAAATATTACAAAAAATTAATATTTCAAAACTTTATTTTAAAGTAAATCTAATTTTATTAAATTTATATTATAAGTAAATATACTATTTCCATAATTTATGGTGAAAAAGAGTCTTTTAAGAACAGAGAAAATATTAAAATACAAACTGTAGCATATAAAAATAGGAAAACTTGCAATTTGAAATATTGGCCGGACAATAGCATATAAAAATCCAATGAAAAGAAGTACGAAAATTACATCATTCACTCTCATAATCATCATCAATATAAACTTCGTCTTCTTCAGTATCTTCACCATAGATCCATTCCTCTTCTTCGAAATCATTAAGTAATTCTTCCACTTGAATTTCACCCCCATTAGTATCTTGCAAAAAAACACCAACTTGAGTTGTTTCAACAATTGGGGGCGGTTGAAAAAATTCTTGTTGAAATGCTTCAAAATCAACTTCTCTCGCGGTTGCATGAGTAATGATTTTTCGTGGTCGAATGGAACACGCACAAAGCCAAG